GTACCAACATCTGTCTCTATGGTACCAACATCTGTCTCTGCTGTACCAAACATCTGTCTAACCTCAAAAGTACCAACATCTGCGTCTACGGTACTAAACATCTGTCTAACCTCAGTAGTACCAACACTGGTCTCTATGGTACCGGTCTAGCCTCGACTGCACCAACATCTGGCTCCACTGCACCAAACATCTGTCTAATCTTGACCAACATCTGGCTCTAGTGTGTCAAACATACGTGTAACCTTGATGGTACCAAGAACTGTGTCTGCTGTACCAAATATCTGTCTGATGGTAACTCTACCAACATCTGCTCCTCCTGTACCAACCATCTGTCTAACCTCATTAGTACCAACATCTGTCTAACCTCAACTCTACCAACATCTGCCTGTCCTGTACCAAACATCTGACTAACCTCATTAGTACCAACATCTGTCTCCACTGTGTCAAACATCTTTGTCATCATAATAGTGCCACCATCTTTATCTACTGTTCTACATATCTGTCTGATGGAGACTCTACCAACATCTGTCTTTACCATCCCAGACAGCTGTTTAACCTCGACAATACCAGCATCTGTCTCTGCTGTACCAAACATCTGTTTAATATTGACCAACATCCATCCTAAACATGTGCCTAACCTCTGCAGTTCAGACATCTGTATCCTCATCTTGACTCACTCCAACATGTTATACCAAACATCTCACTTCTTGTACCAAAACTCCAGGGCACGTTTCCCGTAAGTTTCCTCGATAGGCGGCGGTTTGTGTTTGCACGGCGCTCTGCCTTGGCTCTCTGCAGACATAGTGGACAACAGTTTATTTATTTCTCTCATAAGCTCACTGCAGCTTTCGTGGCGACTAAATGAGAAGCTGCAAATACAAATACTCCTGCTGACCGTCGTGGCATTATTTCTCTTATATTTCGCCAACAGTCGGAGCAAACCTCAGAGACAAAGATGTCCAGCTTGGATGTTAAATAATTCGCTAACAACAGGTGATAGACAGATGATTGATGGCGTGAGTGCATCATACCCTGATGCTAAACAAGCGTGATTCATTTTGTGACGTCTGTTTAGCTTTTTAGCTAACTGACCGATGTGACAAACCCAGATTCTAGCTTTACCTCATGTTGCTCCAAACTGCTTAACATCAGCCTTTCACACATGTTGTAAATAATAAAGGGAATTCCTGCAGACAGAATGAAAGCAGGAGATTAAAATGTGCACTAAAGTCCTGCTGCACTGAACCGTAAAGGGTTCTAATTGGATGTTAAACATATGAACACATCCTCCACTAACGTGCATTGATGTCATAGTAGTTTCAGGTGTTGTCCAGTTAATGAAAAAAACAATAAATGTGAAGTTTTCTGCTCCATCGTCTATTATTCCATTACTGTTTGTTTTAGGTTTTGGTTGTTGTATTAGCATTAAGTCAGAATTTTGTTTATTACAGCTCTTACGTCCCTTTTTTTTGTGTCTTTTAGCTCCAACAGCAGCAGCATCTCCCCCGACAGATGGGCCAAGGCCAGAGGAATCCATATCCCCAAGTCAATCAGTACCAAGGTGAGTCACTCATCTTTGCATTTAATCTGTGCACGCAATGTAGCAAAAACACGAGAATATAAATATTTAAAAAAGGGTTTTGGGTGTTGTTGTTTTTTTTCCCTATAGCTCCCAGATGGCATTGCGTGTTTGCTGTGCAACAAGTATGGTATACATGGCGTTAAACAGATTTTACAGTTCGCTCCGTAAACAGACAGATATGTATGCAAACAGCAGCGCTGACCGAGCGTCACCCCGAAACCAAACCTCGTCCTTTTCCCTGTCTGTCTCTGTCAGATACATCAGATGCTCTTCAGCCTCTCTTCTTCTCTCGCCGCGGAGGAAAAAAAAAAAATAGAGAGTATTCCTGCTCTGCCTGTTACCACGGCAACTTGTCTGTCCTGGATCCCCCAGAGTTCCGGTGAAGTCAGAGAGATGGATGAGAGGAGGGAAGTGGGAGAGAGGAGGAGGGGGCTGGCAACGAGAGGGGATAGGTAGAGAGGTAGAAGGAAGGAAGGAAGGAAGGAAGGAAGGAAGAGAGAGAGAGAGAGAGACGAGTGGGTGAGAGGATGATGGAGAGATGAAGAAAATACAGTGAAGGAGGAGGAGGAGGGAGAGTCAAAGCCATTTATAGCCATCAGAGTCTGTCTGCAAGTCTAGGAGATAATGTGGAGAGGAAGCAAGAGAAGACGGGGCTTCGGCATGAAACCGTGGCCTAGAAATACACTCGTCCTGCAGCGTGTCGGCGCCACAAGCAGCCGCTGCCTTTGTGATTTGTGGCTGTTTTGCAGGGCCACATTACCTCCAACTTCACTTAGGAGTGTGTGATCCTCTTCGTTCTCGCTCCTCTGTTACATTTCCAGTCTGAGCTGTGAGGTGAGGGATTAGCGGAATGATGTCAGAAGTGGGTTTATTAAAGGATTTAGAGCCATTTCCACGCTAGCAGACCTCCACAGCTCTGCCGCTACCGAGCGCCTAATAGGAAAAAAAAAAAAAAAAGTGAGATGCTGGCGCTGGAGTGTGTTCAGTTTTATTTTGGTGTGGTGGGATTTGGACCTAATTGGGTGGGAAGCAGGAAGCGGGTTGTCGCGCAACATTAATCTTCGCCTCAGCAGTGACTTACTAGATCGGTGCCATTTGGTGATTTGATTGGATCCAGTTTCCTGACTCCCTCTGCTTTTCCACTCCTAGGTCCTCCTCAGGATCTGGCGTCCAGGACCCAGACTCTCCAGAACATCCGGGCCACGCGTCTCCTACAACAGCAGCAGCAGAGCCAGCAGCAGATGGTCCAGATGAGTTCTGTTCAGGGCCAGGGAGGCTCCGTGGGACCCCAGACCGACATGGGAATACCCTACGGCAACCAGGGGTCCAACCAGGGCTCCCTGTACGGGCTCAACCCCTCCATGAGCCAAATGATCCACCAGCAGCAGCACCAGAGCCAAAGCGTCCAAGCCTCCATGGGTCTTCCACCGCAGCACAACCCCGCCGGAGGGCCGCCCCGGCAGGCAGGTGCAGGTCCTGGAGTCGGAGGCATGCCCGGAGGCCCCGGAGGTGGCGGAGCTGCCGGCTACGGAGGACAAGGGATGTTAATGAACTCCATGGGCCAGCAACCCCTCAAAGGCCCTCCTAACGCCAAAGCCCAAGCGCAGAGACTGCAAAGCATGCTGGGAGCGGGAGGCGGCGGCGGGGGGATGGCGGCGGGCGGCTGGCCGCAGCAGCAGGGACAGAGTCTGCAGGCCATGGGGGGAGGAGTGGGAAGGACTACAGGCGGAGGGGGAGGCGACATGGTGGGGTTCAGCTCCGCCCAGGGTTACGGGATGCAGCCGGGTCAACCGCCGCGCATGGCCAAGCAACACTTTCAGGGCCCGGGACAGGGGATGAGCCAGGGGATGGACCCCAGGGTGGGCCACCCAGCAGCAGGTATGGGCGGCCCCATGATGGGCCCCCACATGGGCGGTCAGCCAAGGACCAACCAGCCCCGGCCCATGGTCATGAACCAGGGGATGAACCAGGGGGTGATGGGCCAGGGCATGACTGGGATGGGGGGTTTTGGGCCGGGCCCCGGGGGTCCAGGAATAGGGGCAGGGGGCGGAGGAGGCGGACCCTACGGACCGGGGGGAGTCGGGGTTGGAGGTCAGCCGCAGGGCTACCAGAGGACAGCCAATCAGGACATGTCATCCTATGGATATGGGGGCGGGCCCTCAGGCGGAGGAGCCTTCGGATTGGGCGACGGCTCGGGGGCGGAGCTGGACTCAAGCGACGGTTGGATGGAGGAGTTTTTCCCGAGCCAATAGCCAACGGGGAAGGTTTTAACTGGATGAACTGAACATTAAAGTCGGACAAAACCTGAGAAAGCGAAACAAAAAGGATGACACGACGCGGACTGGCATGTTGTTTTATTTTTGTTTTGTAAAACACGAGCAAGGTTATAAATGAGTTCTTGTGTTATGTTTTGTGTGTACGTATGTGTGTCTGAGTGCGTGTGGAGAGAGCTATCATCATCATGTCTTGTGCATATTAATGAAAAACCAATATAGAGATTAAGAGGTGTGTTTCCTTAGTTTCCCTTTCTTTTTTTTTTTCCCCTCCACGGAATGAGTTTTTTTTTTTTTTCCTCAGCGTTTGAAAGCGAGCCCCGTTTACACAGCAGCGCTTTGAGCTTCGGCAGGGGCTGATTGAACACCGCAGACTGATGAGGGGGAAGGAAGACTTGTTCTCAAGACGGCAATTTATTTGTGTTTGTGTGTTTGTGCCACCCAGCTCAGTGCTTCAGATCTCTCAGCCATGTGAGGAGCTGAAGGGAGTGGAAAGCGCTCTCAACGCTCCCATTTCCACTCTCAGATTTGTTCCCCCCACACACACACACACACACACACACACACACACCGACACACACACACCGACACACACATCTGTTTCACTCCCTCCACTTGATCTGCCTCTTTCTCATCCTTCTCATCCCTTCTTTCCCACCTCCTCTCCAGAGACTCCTTCTTCCTCGCTCGTCTTTCTCTGTTGAAACTGTGCACATCACAACAGAACAAATGATGTTCCTCTGTTGTTGCCACACACTCTGCCCTCTAGTGCTTTTGCTAGGCAACCGACCTGGGTGGCGCTTTTCTGTTTTTTTTTTCTTTTTTTTTTAAATCGGTGAGGGTTTCATATCGGTGGATGACGGGTGTGCACGTAGAGGGGAGACAGAACAGGCAGCTAAAGCAAGCACTCGGACTCAAAAGGCACACGACAAACAAACAAACAAACAAACAAACAAACAAACAAGCGGGGAGGATGCGCGAGAGGCAGCTAACGGAGCTAATATTACATTCTGTCTGCGTGACACGAAACCGCATCACATCGAAGCAAAGCGATCGCTGGGCACTGAATGTATTCAAAGCACCACAAGTGACTTCTTCTTCTTTTTAAGGTAAAAAAAATTTAAATGTTTAAAACAAAAAGCTCATTGGAAAGCCCACCCACGTTGTTTTGTTGTGGTTTTTTTAAATCTCAAACAATGATGCTGGTTGTGTCGATTAAAGAGGAAGAGAAAAAATAATTTTTGGTTTTTAGTCGTCTTTGACGGCCTTTTCCTCGTCTCTCTCTTTTTTGTTTTTTAACGTCGCGGCTTCTCTTGCTCCAAACTAACTGTGAAGAAACACAAGTCACCCCCTCGTCAGAACCAACTCCGCTGCTCAGCTTTTATTTTGAAGAGAATCGGGCCCCGTTAGCGTCTAGAAACACGAACATCAGTGCTTCCTCTGAAGTCTCCCCTGTATCTGCTTCACACCCGGGACTCATTCATCCATAGTCTTCATCTGGAGCTGTTGTGTGGTTTAAAGCGAGCGCGTGTCTGTCCGTGCATCACTTTGTATTTAGCTCATCAGAGTGAACGTTTTGGAGGATGATGCTGTAATCAACAAAACCAAAAAGCCTTCTTCTTCTTCTTCTTCTTCTTCTCCTTCTTCTTCTTCTTCTTCTTCTCTGTAAACTAACTCCTTGTCATCATCTGTTCTCATGGTTGTTGGTGTTGTATAATCCAACCCTTTAAAAACTTTTAACCGCCGCCACCACGCCCGTCGTCCTGTAAGCTGCGTTCGGTAGCACCCGCGATTGAGGTTCTGTAACTCTTTTTGTTTGTTTGTTTGTTTTGTTTTGTTTTCGTCACGTTTGGTGGAGCCTCCGTCTCACTGTGGAGTCCGAAGACGTGTCGGCTCGTCGCGGCGTTTGAACGCCGCCGCGGTGGCTCGTGCTTCCAAAACTTCGATGGCGACCCTGCACGAGCGGAAACGCAGAACAACGCCTGAGGTCGACCGTTCCAGAACAAAGGCGGGAAGGTTCAGAAACACGTCTGGGTCGGCGTTAGAGGGGTCAGAGGTCCGTGGTCTTGGTCTGAAATCCCGTCAGGACGAGAAAGGAAGCTTCCTCCAGATATCATTATGTACCGGGACCAAGTCTGTAGACAACATTTTAACAAAAACTGTTGTTATTGATGTTCTTTGTTTTGTTTAATTTTGTTTTTTACTGGTGCTGACATATATGTGATTATGAGAAAAAGTATATAAAAGATAATGGCTATTTGTAAATATGTTTTTACAGGTTTAAATACATCAGATAATACAGTCTCTACTCTGTAAAGAATTTACTGTTTGTTGGAAAATAGAGAAGTATTTTTATTTTGAAGTTTTTTGGTTTCACTTTTAACCCATCTGAGCTATGCCATTGCACTTCAGACAATGTCTTACTACTAATTTGTATCGTAAACCTCCTCTCTTTTTTGGAATTTTTTTTTGTTTGTTTTTTTTTCATTTGTTTTGTTTTTTTCTAGTTTGAGATTTGACTCGGTTCTTAAGCAGTGCTTATTTCTTTTTATCCTGTACAGAATTCTGAAATGTTAACAAAAGAGAATTACAAAAGACTTTTTTTTTGTTTGTTTTTTCAAAAAGATACAATAAAGAGAGAATGTTCTCGCTGATCATATTAAACGAGCGTTTCTCTTCTTCTTTGGGCTCGTTTGTGTCGTTTACAGCCGTGGATCCAAACATAACGCAGCTCCAGGGTTTCTCCTGCTTTAAGGGGTTTTGAGATTTTAACCGAAAACAAAAGAAAGTCAGCAGCTCCAAAATGACAAGAATTAAGTAGTTTTTAATTTAAAAAAAAACAAAACATATATGTTGTTTCATTTACTCAGGCATACACAGTTTAAAAAATAATTTTATGATTTTTTTTCCTTTTATTTAAAATGTGTTTTTCCGTCTTCTGAAATAAACAAAACTGCCCAAAAATCTGTAGCTGTAAAGGACTACAAAATAGTCATTTTTGTAAGAAATTTGAACAGTGCTGAGACTTTTTAACCACCATATTTAGAAAATTAAAATAAAATCTTCACAAATTTAGACCACTTTGTAAAAAAAAAAACTTGCAGGAACAACTTCGTTTTTGTAAGTAATTAAAGTTGTAGTTTAAAAAACGCCTTTAACTGAAGAAGATGCTTTAATTCTACTGACGTGTCATTCGTTTGCTGAACATAATTTCATGTGAAGCTTTGAAAAGATTAATTTAAACGGTAAAAAACACAAATTATTTCTCCTGAGCCCAAATGTGGTTTTGTTAGAATGTCTATATAAGGTTTAAAAAAAATGTAAAATATGTTTGATTTTTATCACTAATTTATTTTGTAGCATCATTTAGTCAGTGGCTGCTCTGTCTGATTGTTTCTGACACACAAATTCATTTTTAAAAAATGAGTAAAAACCACCATAACAACTTATTTAATAAGCTAAAAGACATGTTTATGCTCTCAATCATGATGCAAGTTGTAGTTAAAAACTGCCTTTAATTGAAGAGGAAAAGTTAAATCCATTATCTTGGATGGACTTTGTTTTTTGAAGAAGTTGTCTTGACTCTAAAGATTGATGCAGTTATGTTAGTTAACATTATATTTTTTAGAGTGCACATAGTGGTACAGAAAAAGAAAAGTTAGAATGAATGCATGATTAAAAACAATAGAATAAATATAAATAAAATGCTTAATTTGATTGCAAACCTTCTTTCTAATGAGCTAAAACGTGATTCTTTTAGATTGTGCACACGAGGCCACAACAGATAAGTGATTAGAAGCAACTAAATGAATGGTTTTGATGAATAAAACCAGCTCGTTAAGTTAGTCCTCGGCTGGTTATTGTCTCTGTCGGGGCAGACAATGACACTTCTCCCCGTTAGCCGACGAGCTTATTCCGTTTCAGGGTCACAGGACTGACGGAGACGGATGCTCACGCAATCAGCGCCGGCGCCCCAAACCAGACCGACTAACTGCAGCCCTAATGTTTTGTCTAACGGAGCTGATTTGCATAATTAGACTTGCATATGCTAAAGAGCAGAGTCTTAATTCTGTCTGGCAGCGACGGTGACAATGAATCATGGCGTTGGTGTCGGCAGACCGACAGACAGACAGACAGACAGACAGACAGCAGAGCTCACGCAGGGCCGAGACCTTTCTGCTGTAATCCATCTTTTCCACCATTCCTCCCCTTTCAAACTCTCTCCTCCTCATCCTCCGTCAGCCACGCCTCCTTTCTCTTCATCCTCGCCTCTTCTTCTTCTTCTTCTTCTGCTCGTGCTCCTGCTGCATCCCCCCACCCGGCATCACACACACACACATAACACACTAACTCCCGCTCGCCCATCTGACATTGATAAATGGAGACTTGCACAGATGACAGCATCATTACTCATGTTCAGTAGCGACACCACCTAGGACAGGGGGGAGAAAGAAAGAAAGAGAGAAAGAGAGAGAGAGAGAAAAAAACGAGAGTAAGAGGGAGGATGAAGGACGGGAGTGGAGGAAGATGAGGAGTGAAGCTGGGAGCTGGAGGAGGAGGAGGAGGAGGAGAGAGGCTCAACACCTGAACATCTCCGGAGATGTTGAGTTGTTCATTACTGCTGTGAGAAAGTGGAACAACTGTTGATGGCGGCTGGAAGGCTGGCAGTCGTCACGTACATCCAGAACAGCAGAGGAGCTGCAGGAGGCCGGGATGTTTCTGCATCGCTGCTCCTTTCTGTTACTGTTAGCGATAATGCTAAGTGCTAATCAGGTGTCACAGAGGAAGTACTAAGAAGCCGACATGTTTTCACACTATAGAGACAAGCACGTTTTCATGATTTTACTTGTTGAATGTTCAGTTGGAAAGTCTTCAACGCTGGAATTCAACTTCTGTTAAGCTGCAGAACATTAGAATGAAAATATGAGCATCAATTTAGCAGCTCTGTGACGATTTACTCAATAAAACAAGCGATAAAAAAAGACATTCTGCTACAGATAAAATATTAATACTGAACATCATAAAAGTGCAATGCTTTAGGGGAAATTTTATCAAAGTAAAACTAAAATAAATCTTCTTTACCGCTGATGTTAAGACAGCCGGTGTGACGTTCCCAATCCAGCACAGTTCATAGCACACAATAAATCATTTTAGCATTTGTTCCACCCGACAAGAAATCTGCACACAAGATTCAAGACTTTTGCAGCCTTTAGCTCAGTTTCAAATTAGATGTTCTTGAAATATTCAGTTTTC